TTGGCACCAGGTTATAATAAAACACGATAAACTATAATTTCGTGGAATCGATTTTTCATTAGGCTCCCATAACAGCATAGCAAGTTACGGTTCATTAAGTCTGATCAGAAAAAAAAGATATATTCTGAGAACGTTCTATTATTCTACCATCGAGGTATTTGCAAAAGTAGCCAATAGAAATGATTTGAAATCTATTTATTTTAGATAACTTAAGGCAATGTTTTCATTTTTTATAGCAGAAACTCAACATTTATTAATGTAATATTGGTCATCAAGGTCTGTGGCTATCAGTCTGTTTAAATCTGGAATAATTAGTTCCACTGCCTGCTTTTAATAGTATGTGCCCCTAATATTTAATCATCTAACCAAAGAATTAAATAAATTCATAGTCAGTAAGGCTAAGTCGTTTGGGCTATAACAGCAATGAAGGGATATTGTAATTGCTTTTAAAACACAATGCAATATTGCAATAATTTGTTTGGCACCAGGTTATAATCAAACACGATAAACTATAATTTCGTGGAATCGATTTTTCACTAGGCTCCCATAACATCATAGCAAGTTACGGTTCATTTAGTCTGATCAGAAGACAGAAGATATATTCTGAGAACGTTCTATTATTCTACCATCGACGAAGTATGTGCCCCTAACATTTAATCATCTAACCAAAGAATTAAATAAATTCACAGTCAGTATGGCTAAGCCGTTTGGGCTATAACAGCAATGAAGGTATATTGTAATTGCTTTAAAAACACAACGTATTATTGCAATAATTTGTTTGGTACCAGGTTATAATAAAACACGATAAACCATATTTTTGGGTAATCGATTTTTCACTAGGCTCCCATAACATCATAGCAAGTTACGGTTCATTTAGTCTGATCAGAAAACAGAAGATATATTCTGAGAACGTTCTATTATTCTACCATCGACGAAATATGTGCCCCTAATATTTAATCATCTAACCAAAGAATTAAATAAATTCACAGTCAGTATGGATAAGCCGTTTGGGCTATAACAGCAATGAAGGTATATTGTAATTGCTTTAAAAACACAATGAAATAATGCTATAATTTGTTTGGTACCAGGTTATAATAAAACACGATAAACTATAATTTCGGGGAATCGATTTTTCACTAGGCTCCCATAACATCATAGCAAGTTACGGTTTATTAAGTCTGATCAGAAAACAGAAGATATATTCTGAGAACGTTCTTTTATTCTACCATCGAAGTATTTGCAAAAGTAGCCAATACAGATGAATCAAACCATATTTATTTTAGATAACTTAAAGCAATGTTTTCATTTTTTATAGCAGAAGCAAATGTTTTATTAATGTAATATTGGTCATCAAGGTCTGTAGCTATCAGTTTGTTTAAAACTAGAATAATTAGTTTCACTGCCTGCTTTCAATAGTATGTGCTCCTAATATTTAATCATCTAACCAAAGAATTAAATAAATTCACAGTCAGTAGGGCTAAGCCGTTTGGGCTATAACAGCAATGAAGGTATATTGTAATTGCTTTAAAAACACAATGAAATAATGCTATAATTTGTTTGGCACCAGGTTATAATAAAACACGATAAACTATAATTTCGGGGAATCGATTTTTCACTAGGCTCCCATAACATCATAGCAAGTTACGGTTTATTAAGTCTGATCAGAAAAAAAAAGATATATTCTGAGAACGCTCTATTATTCTACCATCGACGAAATATGTGCCCCTAATATTTAATCATCTAACCAAAGAATTAAATAAATTCACAGTCAGTATGGATAAGCCGTTTGGGCTATAACAGCAATGAAGGTATATTGTAATTGCTTTAAAAACACAATGAAATAATGCTATAATTTGTTTGGTACCAGGTTATAATAAAACACGATAAACTATAATTTCGGGGAATCGATTTTTCACTAGGCTCCCATAACATCATAGCAAGTTACGGTTCATTTAGTCTGATCAGAAGACAGAATATATATTCTGAGAACGTTCTATTATTCTACCATCGACGAAGTATGTGCCCCTAACATTTAATCATCTAACCAAAGAATTAAATAAATTCACAGTCAGTATGGCTAAGCCGTTTGGGCTATAACAGCAATGAAGGTATATTGTAATTGCTTTAAAAACACAATGTAATATTGCAATAATTTGTTTGGTACCAGGTTATAATAAAACACGATAAACCATAATTTTGGGTAATCGATTTTTCACTAGGCTCCCATAACATCATAGCAAGTTACGGTTCATTTAGTCTGATCAGACAACAGAAGATATATTCTGAGAACGTTCTATTATTCTACCATCGACGAAATATGTGCCCCTAATATTTAATCATCTAACCAAAGAATTAAATAAATTCACAGTCAGTATGGATAAGCCGTTTGGGCTATAACAGCAATGAAGGTATATTGTAATTGCTTTAAAAACACAATGAAATAATGCTATAATTTGTTTGGTACCAGGTTATAATAAAACACGATAAACTATAATTTCGGGGAATCGATTTTTCACTAGGCTCCCATAACATCATAGCAAGTTACGGTTTATTAAGTCTGATCAGAAAACAGAAGATATATTCTGAGAACGTTCTTTTATTCTACCATCGAAGTATTTGCAAAAGTAGCCAATACAGATGAATCAAACCATATTTATTTTAGATAACTTAAAGCAATGTTTTCATTTTTTATAGCAGAAACAAATGTTTTATTAATGTAATATTGGTCATCAAGGTCTGTGGCTATCAATTTGTTTAAAACTAGAATAATTAGTTTCACTTCCTGCTTTCAATAGTATGTGCTCCTAATATTTAATCAGCTAACCAAAGAATTAAATAAATTCACAGTCAGTAGGGCTAAGCCGTTTGGGCTATAACAGCAATGAAGGTATATTGTAATTGCTTTAAAAACCCAATGCAATATTGCAATAATTTGTTTGGCATCAGGTTATACCAAAACACGATAAACTATAATTTCGTGGAATCGATTTTTCACTAGGCTCCCATAACATCATAGCAATTTACGGTTCAGTTAGTCTGATCAGAAAACACAAGATATATTCTGAGATCGTTCTATTATTCTACCATAGACGTATATGCAAAAGTAGCCAATACAGATGAATCAAACAATATTTATTTTAGATAACTTCAAGCAATGTTTTCATTTTGTATAGCAGAAACAAATGTTTCATTAATGTGATATTGGTCATCAAGGTCTGTAGCTATCAGTTTGTTTAAAACTAGAATAATTAGTTTCACTGCCTGCTTTCAATAGTATGTGCTCCTAATATTTAATCATCTAACCAAAGAATTAAATAAATTCATACTCAGTAAGGCTAAGCCGTTTTGGCTATAACTGCAATAAAGGAATATTGTGATTACTTTTAAACCATAATGAAATGTTGCTATAATTTGCGTGGCACCAGGTTATAATCAAACACGATAAACTATAATTCAGTGGA